AAATCCATCCTGCCCACACGCTCCCCATTTCTCCCCTTGTTGCAACTCATTGGAGAAGATGGGGGTATAACTGTCCAACAACCCCAAACGTTAAACTTAACGGAATGTCCACTAATTCCAACTAATTCAAACCAAGGGAATTAACATGATCAATACGTATAGAAGATCTGGTTGACTAATATCAAAATACAATTATTTGAGGGATTAATATCAAATCACTAAAGATATAAGGGACTATTATTGAAAAAAACCCTTATCTCAATGTGATTACTATTTATCACTGTTTCCATGGACAAGATGACACCATGTATGAATCCCAAAATCACAAACAATATCTGTATAATAGTGATTTTCAATATGATAATGGAAACCCTATGTAATTACCGTATGATTGAAAAGGATCCTTCATAAGAGGGAGATGGATATTGGATTTAGATCAGTCTAATAACGAGTTGGTCAATTTAAATTCTTTGGTAATAATTTCGTTGTGTCAAATAAAGCTAACACTTTATTGGCATTCAATACTAATTTTATGCAGTATTTTTCCCAATAACCATTGAATATACTTAAAATTAAAATAAAGATACAAAACAAGAAAAAGGAATTATGAATATAAATTTATAGCTTAAAAATTATACTAGTCAACTTTATTATTAATCATGTATTAACCTTGTGTGACCAAATAAGTAACAGACTGACGCAATTTAAAAAGATAAAATGTCTAAGAGAATAATTCGACATAATAACCCTAAAACTAGTGCAATATTGACTTCGACGATACGAACTTGCTTATCTCAATTTTCAAGATAAAATTGGAAGACTTCGACGCTATTTGTCATCATTTAATTACAAAAGTACACTTAAGACGACTTTTTCCGTGTTCAAGTGTGACTTTTTTTTCATGATTTTTTTTTTTTCAATCGAGACCGGCCATGATTTAGCTGCTGTCCATTATTTATCACAACAGGGATCTGATTATGGGAGCTTGCCGTTACGATCCATAGAATTGACACTGCTTACTCCTCGATTAAAGTCTGGGAATGTTTAAGACGTTCGTATGTCAATATCAACTTTCTTACTAGTGATTGATTCTTCACGCTGAAGCTGACATTATGATCACGAGGCTACAGAAAAGAATAAACAAATATCTACATTCAAATAAAAGAAAAGTCTACCACGTATCTAAAAATGCACATTACATATTTGAGTAAACCAGGCTGACGCATTACTTCATAGTATTAATTAATATGTTGCCAACGTCACACACATTTACTTTCATTCGGACTGCTGCAAAATTTAAATATTCACTTCTAGTTAATAAAAAAAAATTAAATCTCTTGATTTTGCTTGGGATGAGAAACCGATTGAAACCGCACTTCTTTGACTGCAGTAGTTCTCAAGATAACAATCCTGAATTCAGTATAAAGAAATATCTTGAATTTGCTTGGTATGCACAAAAGTCATGGAACCTCAAGACTCTTGATCAACTTAAAATGATTAAGCTCATACTTCCCGGACACGTATAATTACAGTTACAGTTATATCATCACTCAGTGTCAAGCAATATATTCAACATTTAATTCCATCGTATATTTAGCTTTATGCATATATTTTTCTATATTATCACAGTGAAGTGCACATCCTGTAAATTTGATAACAAAGACACATTGAATCAAACATAGACATCAACAGGAGAGGATCACTGTAAAAATAGTTTTAAGATTATGTTGCAGTAGCATGTATGGTACTTTGTTAACTGGCTTCAACTGAGAGTATTTCGAGTTCTGCCCACCAAAGCGGAGAAAGTCTTGGGGTTGCAGCCTCTGCTGAAATTCCAAGGACTTCCTTCAGTGAAGCCATGACTTCTCTCATTGTGGGTCTCTTTCTTGGATCGTGGCAAAGGCATTTGCGTATAATCCCGCAAACAGTTTCAAGCTCATTGTCATTGGCAGCTTTCAGTGCAGGATCAACCATAGACCTAAAATTGATTTCATCTTCCAAATATGGTGCACCCTGCCAAGATACCAATACAATAAAAATCAAATTTTTACTAGTAAAAGAAAAATGGGAACTAAAGGATGAGTCTTACCCAATCTACAATGGAGCCTTCCTCTTCAGAATACGGAAATTTCCCAGAAATGACCTCTAGCATCAACATACCAAAACTATAAACATTGCTCTCAGTATCGGTATCCAGCAACTTGGATGTATCTTGGCTGTCAACTCCAGATGCTATTTTCTTGCTTTCATTAAATAGGCTAATATCCACAATCTGCAAATACTTTTGTATCAGTGTACAGTCACAAGTAGGCAAGATGGAAAGGAAGAAAATATGGGCACAGAATATGAGCTGCCAATGAATTTAGCAAAATGAGCTACCAAGGGATAAAAATGGAGAGATCCGCCTACTCTGATGTGACTAGCATGTGGGCCGCATCGTTGGTTTATTTCTTGATAGCTCATTTAGTAAAGTTGTCAGCTCATACTCATTTTTTTCCAAAAAATATTAACATGCCTTAGCAGCAAAATCATCTGTTATGAATACAGCATCTGATCTCAGATCTGAGAGAGTTACAGGTGGATTGAGCTCGTGATGCATGTACTGAAGACAATATCCCATCCCCATGATAACCCTCATTCTGGCACTCCATTCAAGATGTTCATATTCTTTGACTGTAAACATAAGCAGGTGGATTCAGTACAAAAGTGGATTCTTATTAGCAATTCATATCTATCAATTACTTACCATGAAGATGGTCGAAAAGGGTTCCATTTGGTGAATACTCGAGCACCATCATCCTCATAAAAGGTTCATTCTCCTCACAGTAACCAAGAAGGTTGACAAAGTTTTTGTGGTTTACTCGTGAGAGTGTGTCTATCTACATTTCAAAGACGAGCAAAATTAGGAAATATACTGAATAAAGATTTATGAATAATTAAATAAAGTGAAAGGTCTGTGCTCTACAAAGATACCGAGAATGAAAAACCTTTTTTCTGAAGCACAGCTCTGAACGCTCTGACCAATCCATGGCAGATTTAACTGTAGTGGATACAACACCTATCTCGACTCCACTAGATAAAGTCCCTTTAAACAGAGTGCATGTTGGAAAAGAAGTGATGATGTTGCTGAAATCCTCACAAGCAGCTTCCAGTTCTGCTCGATTTAATTTTGGCACCCCTGAAAATTATCAACATAACCATCTAAATATAAAGATGATTAAATGATCCAATGACAAGAAATTAACCATTCTCCTATAGAAGATTGCTCTTAATTAGGCTAATACTCATGTAATACCCCACTTTACTCTTCTGCTAGTGATTTTAAACAATACCTCTCACTTATAAAATGAGTGCATGGCGAGCCATATCTATGATGAACAGATAAAACATTGCTAGCAATCAATATGCCTATCATGTAAATATAAGTAGTATTAACTTATACAATGTCAATCATGTACAAAATCTACACCTGATTTGTTAACCTTCAGGCTCAAACATGCTGCACAGAACCAGATAAAAATGCTACTCTGAGCCAATAAGATATATTAGGGCAGAATAAAATAGATGCTTGAATAGCAGTCATACACCTCTATGCAAATTATTCTTCATTAGTAGCCTGTACAGTCTTAAGACCCAATTTATACAGGTGTTAGGTGTCTAGTAACAACTTTGGCATGCATACAAGATAACCTCAAGAATAAATTTTCACTGATGCAACCAAATATTAAAGACACAAGAACGAACCCTAATAATAGTGATTTGCAATTGGTCCATCTGGGTCATTTTAACTATGAGGAAAATGAAACTAAACCAAATTTATCTGCAATCAAACTGAACAAGACTAACTTCATTTGGTTATCTGGTTTGTTTTTTTCCCATTATACCTGAACTTTTACGTAAATATATTAATGTATAAATTTTTTGTCTACATACACCACCATCCTAATATTATAGTACTTTGTCACTTTATGTGTATATTAGTACAAGTACTCACGATATATATGCCGAAATAGATGTCAGGTAAATAATACATATGTATATTAGCATAATTACTAAGAACCATGAACTTGTGAAGGACGAGACTTATTCAAGTATCAAAACTCTTAAGGAAAATCATTATTGACAGTCCAAGGCAAATTCAGGGGTTATCCTTATGTGTTTCCAGGGCAACCGTAATATGCTTGCCTGACGTGTGAATGAATGTCAAGAATAACGCGCACTTATTCTTCATATCTCTAGTCAAGAACAACTATGCAATACGCAAACAATTACAATGCTTTCTTTTATGGCATCTGGTTTTTCTTCCGTGGTTCTTCAATTGGACAAGCTTAACTAGAGAAGTTGACCATTATGGTCGTCATCCTCTTACTCCAATTGCAAATGGACAATATGCAAAGATGGGATGCTCCCAGGTCAATTGGATACGTGGAACTATGATATATGATCACGATAATAGAAATACAATTTTGATTGGGATTCCATAATTGAGAAGAATAGTTGGCCAAGGTGTATATCGGCTAACATGCCATTGAAGAACAATAAGAAGTATCAAAGTTAAAAATAATGTGAAATTCTAAGAGGAGATAAACAAACCTGTTACAAATGCCTTCTGCAGCTGACCACTTAGTCCAGTTTTCCAAGGACCAACTGGTCCCCCTTTCCTTCGGCAGCATGCTAAGAGTATGATTGCAGCTAGAACAAGAAAAACAGCCCCAACAGCAATAAGGATATATACCCAAATTCCCAATCTTTTACTTGAATAGTTGTTGTCTTCAAGTGATTGGCCAGATGGAGAACTATCTGGTGGATTTGCTGGCATGGTCCATCGTGAAGGCTCTCTTCCACCATTTCCATCCTTTGAGCTTGGTACTGCCGGAAAGGAGCCACTCCCAACTGATGGAACTTCAGCAAATTCTTGGACGGGAGGATTGCCTACAGGAACAGCAGGGAGGTTGCTTGTTTCTTGAAGCAGCTGACGCCGAACAGTGTTTGTGACATGTACACATCTGTTTAATATATGGTTCAGAGAATTGGCTGTTTAAATGAAAAAAAAAATGTTGTCTTTAAACATAGGTGGTAACACTAGTTTCAATTACTGTTAAACAAAATGTACTAACACAATAAGTTGTCACCATGCTCTCCATGATAATTTGGAAAATCGCTTATAATATTGGACCTTCAAAGCAAAACATTAGCATCAGATGAGAAAAAACAATTCAACTGTTAATAATAGTAGAAAGTATAAAAAATGGTACTGATGAAAGATAAAATATTGTTCATACAATAGTCACATGTCAAACAGTCAAAGTAAAGTAGAACTTGTCCTTCAAGTGGGATCACTACATAGCTAGCATTTGTTAGAGTTCTTCTGACCTTTTTGCCATAAGTTGGCATAAAACATATCGGTGCACATCGTAACATCATCTATGCACGCAGTGTACTAGTCTCATGCAATCACATTGCACAGGTTTTTCTGGATAGCACCTAACACGTACTTATTATTTTATATTATTCCTCCACAGTAACGAACTTTGGTATATGTTGCTTACAATGCAAAACCATCATCAGTCCGCTGTGTTTCATTTGTCCTTTGAATCTTGAACTGATCATGGTTTCTGGTTATCAATAGATATCATATTACCGTAACCCAACGTTAATCACCATATGAAGATTATACGGAGAAGAAAATGGAAAGGGAAAAGAGTGGATGTTATCATGTTGGGTCCTTATGGCGTACGATTCTACAAGTCAAGATGGAGATGATGAAAAGAAGAAGAAGGGGTGGGGGGGGGGGGTGAGGGGGGGGGAATTGGTATTAACCTAAGCAACCATGATAAGGGATGAAGGGGAAGGGTGGTAAGAAAATGGAAAGGGGGAAGTTACCATTAAAGACAGATTAAGGTAGGTGGATTAACATATAAAGAGAAATGCGCCACTGGAAGGCATGAATGATATGGGTGCAAGGAAGATGAAGAGTAGCAATTATATAACATGAAGCATACGGTTTCTGAATTGGATTGAGGTATTAAACTGTTCGAGGTAATTAAGCCAAAAGCCACTAAGTGAGTACGTGGATACAAGCAAAGTTATAATTATGTAATATGTAAATAAGGATTAAGGAGCATGATCTATGCTCTTAACAGTAACAATATACATATAAAACGTAGGGTTAATTGCGAATAGACCCTCTATAGTATCACCCAAATAGATCCCATGTAGTTCTATTTGTTGCGAAGAGACCCATGGTATTGGCCCAAGAGCGAACACACCCTCTTAGTGAAATCTTTTCAAAGTGGAAAAAAAGAAGCAATTGGAGGTCTATCCTCACCAATAGAACTATAGGGGTCTATCTGCCTCCCCAAACTTTTTTAACGATGTTAAGAGTAAAAAAAATTCACTAAAGGGTCTTTCCGCAAAGGGGGGGGGGGGGGGGGGTCCTGTCACAATTAACCTATAACGCATTAGTTACAATAGAACAGAAGGGACACTGGAAATACATTGTGTCCACCCCATTTATAAGCAACATGTCTTCATTTATAAACATAGAGTGTCCAGAATATACCTGAATTCCATTTACTAAAATGGGTACAGATACAAAGCTAATTCTGATATTTCAAACAGCCCAATAATGGGATTAGACCCTCTCAGTCAAATAGTCTTCCAGATTCTATGACGAAGCCTTTGTCAAGCCAAAAATACTTGTGGCCCAGATCAGGCAGACCAAACTAGAAAAACATCCCGCATTCTGCCAGATGTAACACTAACCTAGAAGGCCTTACACCTACCCATAGTTTGTCAATTTATATAATGATGATTGACATCAATGTCTCTGTTTTCAATGGAGTAAAAACTTTAAAATCTTAGGTACAAACATGAAGATTTAGTGATCATCTTAGACCATTCAAGAAAATCAATGCTGATATTGTACTTGCTTATGCTCTTTCCTGAATTATGTGTACTCTTGTTGGCTGCCTCTTTCTGAACCTAGTTCAAATTGCTTTAATAGCATAAATAACTTGATATAGCAAATACATAAGCATTTATACCCTAAACTAATCACTACTACAACTGTGAGCGCACAGCCATTTCAGAGACATTTTCAAGCTCAGATGAAGAACAGGAATGTGAGTATTAAGAATTTTGAACTAACTTCAAACATACACTATTCAAATTCTTAAATTCACATGTATTGAGCAAAAGTCAAGATCAAAATATCAACATCAAAAGCAGCCTAATTATAGACCTGGTCCAGAAGTAAAAAGCCACTAGCTGCATAGGAGAAAAGTTGATTATGTAACTAAATTTTAATTTGTTGAATTAACAAAGTATTGAACTCGTCAACATGGAAAGTAATGGCTAGCATCTTACCAGTGCCCAACCTTTCTGTTAGCACATCCAATCTCATTAGCCATTTTACAAGAAAAATCTGAATTACATTTGAGATCAGAGACCACATCAAGCTTCTCAATCCAAGAAATACCACCTCCGAATTTGTTACCACAAAGAAGACTGTCGCAGAAAACAAAGATGGCTTACATCATTTGACATTAGATGCTTAAGGAAATAAAGGTATGAATGTATCTTCATAAACTTACAGACACTTAAGTGATAGCATATCTCCTAGTTCTCTTGGAATTGTTCCATTTAAGTTATTACCCCTCAAGTCCAAGAGCTCCAGCATAGTTAATCTTCCAATCTCCTTTGGGATAACTCCGGTAAAATTGTTTCTATGAAGTATACTACATTCAACAGTAAAATATTTATGAATTATGTCTATTACAAGAATACAAGAATGATGACAATGAGTAGAAAAGCATAAAAGAAATAATTGCATAACTTGCACAGCAATGTAGTCAGTGAGCTATATGTATATCATAAATTGTAGACCATTGACAAATATGATGGCTTATGTAGTTTGTACTCAATTTGAAGCACAGAAAGGATTCATTTTCTTTCTCTTCTAGGAGTTCGGGGAATAATTGTACGAAATAAGTATACCACTTGGAGCTCAATTACAGTAAGCTCAATTACAGAAAACAAAAGAGACAAATTGTCCACTACAAGTAGTAGGAAGTACACAACAAATGTAGAGATCAAGAAAGAAACAAGGGAGGAAAACTAACCCACTAAAACAGAGTGCAAACATAGATGATTCACCAGTCAGGCACCCATATCAAGGAGAACATAAAATTAGACGGGATTAATAGAATGAAGCTTCACATAAAGCTCTACCACTACAACAACAGTGCAGATGTTGATTAAGCAGCTAGCACAAATTAAAATGTATTGTTTCAATCAAACAAAAAGCATAATATTAAAAACAAAAGCAGTTCTTGTTGTAGACTGCAAATACCCTCAAAAGAAACAGATTTTACAAATCAAAAGCAATAAAAAGCAAAATTTCTATGTTATATTGTTATTAGAATAAGAACTAGGGGATGTCGTATTTAGCCTCAATGTCAGTCATTTGTAAATATTTTCCCACAAAAATGTCAACTAAGACATTTGTAAAGCATGCATTAGAATGCATGGCCTGATTTGTTCAACTTGTGTAGCTAGAAACAGATATTTCTTTTGAGGAAAATTTGGAAGCCATCATTGAATTATTGAATCTATAGCTTTCGTTACAGTCAATAAACATATTTTATTTCTTTCTTTCTTTTTTTCCTTTTCTTTTTGTGCGTGTTTTTTTGTGTGCACGCGCGCGCCATTAGATCGTAAATTTTCATGCAGCATTTGTTTTTTTTTTATTGATCAACTTCTAAAGGAATAGAATAATACCCCATATATTAGCATATGATAGAAGGAAACTTAGTCAAATAATGAATAATAAACTGACATCTTTCCATGGACCTACAAGGTGAAATGATGCTTACAGAGCTTTTAAGTGGCTAAGTAATCCAATCTCTGGTGCCAAGACTCCCCCCAGAGAAAGCTCATTGAGGTACCTGCAGATTCTGGCTTGTTAGATAATGGAAGAATAGTGAAGTTATTTAATCTAATAACCTATACGAATCTAGTAAGCATTTATAATTACTATTGTAATAATAAGCTAAATAAATAAAATTACTACAATAACTATGGCATAAACTCACACATTAAACACAAAAAATTGAAGAAGACAATGCGAGGCCAGAAAGTTGACAAGCAAGTATAAGGTTTGACACGTTCGAGTTTCGGACATGGTAGTACTTCTCATTATTGCAATATCACAATCTTTTTTGAACCCTTGCATCATCATGATATGTGAGAAAATATATCAAGTTCCAGTAACAAGATAACAATAACTAACAAACTCATAACCTTCTTTTAGCAAAAGACATAGATTCTATCAATTAATCAAAGCCAAGCATCATAGTCTCGACTCTTATTTTGTTTTACATATTACCCTTTCTGCTCTTCAGCAGAGAGTCATATCTTCCTATATTGAATTGTAGTTGTCATGTTATGGAGATTTCATCAGGAGATTTTATTATATAGCTATAGATTACTCCTAGAATACAGATTAACAAGTTCAGTCAGGTGCAGATACGATAGTCTGGGAATGAGAAACAGATGGAGCATGTAGAGTGAAACATCTCAATGTGAAGAACCCTGAAGTTCCACAAGTACAAACAAAAAGACAGATCAATTTGTCAATAGGACTGAGGAGTGAACATAGGTGGACAGTATATATATACAAGCATATCAAGCAGTTCAACATGAATCAAAATACGAAGGATGCACATGTTAAGGTCCTCAGTTTGCCGAGTGGTCAGGGAAAATATCACAGAAGCAATACCGTCGAATATCGATCAATGCCTGTCCCCTTTATCACCCGGTACAATATTTCTATGTTGTATCACATTGAATTTCAGCAGAAAGTAACTAATACCACCAATATGCGCTAATAATGCCAACTATTGAGGAGATATAAGGTCTGAACTACCAAAAATTGTTTTGAATTAGCAACCAAGGAATCAAAATTTTCCAAACTGACGAGTTGTTTGAGCTAAAAAAACGAATAGTTTTACATCTACAGTGAAAGTATGATCAATTAAAAAAATAAACAATTGTAATTATACTAATCTATTCCTTATTGTGGTCTATTCATTATTGTTTTCTCTTTTAGAAGTAGTATAGATTGATGACTCATCAAGGAAACCCACACTTCTTTATTTTGTAGTGACTATCATAGCAGAGAGTAATGTAGTTCTCATTATTCTCTTATGTTTTTCATTCTCAAACTTCTTTTTTGACATGTTTTGATCCAATAATTTTACATCTACAGTATACATATGATCAACTAAAAAATAAACAATTGTAATTATACTAATCTATTCATTATTGTGGTGTAATACAGCATAACCACAATTAGAAAGTTGCTAACTGAACTTGGTTTATACGATTGACATTGTGAGTATCCATATGACATTGAACGGGAAGTCTAATCCTAGTTTCAATTTGCTGAAAAAAGTTTGAATAGATGTAGGATGCCCTTTACATCTATCAATTTCTCCCAAGCGTGGAGATTAGTTCATCATGTTGGTAGATTTTTCTCATATCGTTCAGCCTTGAGATTTTTCCCTTCTATGGTTGGAACTCATTCCTTAAAATTATAAAGTAAACTCATTTGAAACTTTGACTTTATATTCCACATAAGCATCAAAAAAGAATAAATAAATAAATACGTATGTATATACATAGTACATACATTTACACTTACCTATTTAAATATGAGAACACATGTCTCTCATTCTTAGCATTGCCATTAATTTTAAAGAAAAGAAAAAAAAAAGCAAATAGTCAAGCACTCATGTGCATGGTGATGTCATGTTCCTCTGCTCCAAAACTCCTGTGTCCCCTTTGTTTGGGTGCGGAAACGTACCCTAACCGCACCCGACACGGGTGCGACGCCAAAATTGCCGTGTCGGGGTATCATAGGTTGGAAATGAATGAAAAGGAACATAGGGATATTCTCAAAAAGAGAAGGAACATAGGGAAATGCAAAATGAAAAGGAAGTCTCAGGAAGTCTTAGCATACCCAAAAATCAATTAATGTTTAGCATTTAGATTACAACGTGATGAATCTTGTTGTCTTTGTGATGAGTAGATTGACTGTGACTAATCAGAAACAAGAAAAGACAGAAAACAGAAGAATAACAACAAAAGAGATAGATACAGGAGAAAATTATTGATGATCATCATGTGTACCCTTTAATTCGTCAGTTTCCCTAAGTAAACTTCATGTGTGGTTGAGCATAAGCATTGGGGCTATGCTTATGTCTCAAATGAAGAGGCTATCACCCACTTACAAGTAGTTGGTTAAGTGTTGAAGTGGTGATAGTGATACAGCCAGTGAGACCGAAGCACAACACAGACAACTCAATTGCAAAATTCTGTGTTATCCAATATGTGCGTATTGATAAATGCATCATGTCCAAGTTTTCAGTATTTACTGTCTGCCTTGTCATATATTTTTTTTCTAATAGTTCATGCAACATCGACAACATCAATCACATCATTTTTCTTTCCTACAACTTTTCAGCCAACAACGACCGACCACACGTGAATGTGCACTCCATTGGGTGTGTTTGGATAGCAATAGTTAGTCTCATGTTGTTTCAACTACATTCAAGTTTGAACATACATGTTTGATCAGGCGTTGTTTCAACTCCAGAGAGTTGCTATAGGAGCAATGGCTTAAATGTAAGAGAATTGCTCATGCATTCAAATTGAAGAAATTTCCAATAGCAAGAATTGAACCTAAATGGTATAGTAAATGCATTTGTTTTTCCACCAGACGGAGTAATTACAACTACCAAACAGTAGCAATAGACTATTTACAATACACAATGCAATGAAATAGCAGTAAAAATATATGACACTGAATAAGGCAGACTCACAGGGTCTCCACTTTCCCATCAATACATCGAACACCTGACCAGTTACAGGGCTCATCATCATTAGGGTTCCAGTTCTCAAACACGCCATGAGGATCGATCTCCACTCCCGACCGGAACTCCAACAAGGCCAACCCTTCATTTCAAACCAAACAAAAAAACAAGCTTTACAACAAAATTCCATTATCAAACCCAAACAGATCCTTAAATATTCTATACCTTCAAGATTCAGAGAGAAGCATCCGTAGATTTGGCAATGGAGAAAGAACAAAGCAGCAGCGCAGAATCCAAAGCGAATCCATCTCTCCCTCATCTCTCAGGCCAAAAAATCGCCAGAACTTCCCTCTAACAATTATCCCCTCTTCGACTTCTCAAAGTCGAAATCGACGAGGGAATGACATCATAAACCACGCTTTGCTACAGAAGCTAGGGATTCGATCCTACGCTTAGAGTGCAAGCGATTCCAGGGCGGGAAGCATAAAACAAGAATAAAATATTTTGAAAATGGAAGAAAATAAAGGAGGGGATTAAAGAAAGGCAAAAGGAGGCCGGATTCAGTGGTTGAGAGCAGCTGCTTCGGGTGCCATTGCGCGATCGATCTCTACCTGCTCTGCTCCCTCTTCCTCTCTCTGTTTCCTTCCTTTTTTTTTCAGTTTTTTTAACCCTTTTTTTGGCGGGAAGTCGATTGGGCTCGGCCAAGGGCGTTAGGGTTTCGCCGGCGGCGAGAGGAAGAGGGGACGGTGGTTTTTTTGGCTGTTCGTTTGTTTGTCTGGGAATTCGTGGGGGCGAGGTGGGGCCCACCGCGATCGTCGGGGTCGCGACGACGACCCTTCTCTCCCTCTCGCGCCTCCACCGCTCTCGCTCTCATAGGTCTAAAAAAAAGGAAATTAAATTTTATTTTTTTATCTATTTCTGCTCTGAAAGTGGGGAAATTATCTATTTTGGGATGATGATGATATAAATAAATGCTTCGAGCTTGCAAGAAAAAATATTCACTTGTTATGCCTTGGACATAAATCTTTTTTTTTAAATAGCTGAGTGACAAGTTTTGGGGTCCTTTTTATCCTGTCGTGCAAATTTCAATACCTTATTGTTATCGAAGTATATCACGTTGGTCATTAGATCTCATTTTTAATACATATACGGTAATTTAGCCTGAAGCAAAATTAGTGCATTGACTAGAGAGTAAGGACTTTGTAATATTATTCTCGTAGTAGAAAAAGTAGTTCATATGTTGCATCTCACTTGGTTTTACTGATTTACTAATTTCCTAAGGCACTGTTTGGCAAAGGGTTAAGGAAGAGAGATTAAGGAGAAAGGTTAACTTAGTTAATCCATTGTGAAGGGTTAAAAATATTCTAATTCCGTTTGAATGCGCTAGTTTAGACAAGGGGTTAAGACTTTTGTGTTTGGCAAATAAAGAAGGGATAAGGAGATTAATCTCATTAATTTTTTAAAAAATACCACTTTTGTCCTTACTGAAAATTTATAACTAATTGTCTCATTAATATTTATTTCGCGTTGTTTATCTTCTAATCAATTTCAAAGATTTGAAGCGCTAATATGTAATTCAGTTGAGACACGTGGGATAATTTTTTTTTTTTTCGAAATAACGCTAAAATGACAATTTGGTATTATTCAATAAATGATTGTTCAGAAGGTAAATTAAAATAAATTATCATTTCACTTTATTTCAGCTACTAAAGAGAGATAATGAGCTAACAAAATATTATATGGCTTCTCCTCTATCAATAAACCTGGCAAAAAAAATGATTATAAGTTTTGCTCATATAAAATTATAAAATTTGATCATATAAAGATAGTAAAAAGATATAATTCAACCTCCTTATACTTTAATATTCGACAACTACATATTTCAATTATTCCAAAGCTGTAAAGCAATCCTGTTGCGAAGCTGCTCACCCCTTAAACTTTCATCTGCACCAACCATGTATTGGGGGTCTTCTTCCTCCTCCACCTCATCTTCATCCTCATTCATCTCTAATCCATTGAGCATATTAAAGTATTTATCATTTCCCTGATGCCTTGCAATAAAATTATGAAGAACACAACAAGCTACAACGATTTTGACTTGAGTTTTATAAGGAAATGGAGCAGCAACTTTCAAAATTTTGAATCTTTGCTTTAAAATTCCCCATGCTTTTTCCACTGCATTACGTAGTTGTGCATGTCTATGATTATATTTGTCTTTAGTATCTCGATAGGCTCTGGTGGTCCTGTTTGCAAAATCACCAAGATGATAACGTGATCCATGATATGGGGCGATAAATTTTGAAGTATTAGCATATCCTGAGTCAACTAAGTAAAAGTGACCTGCATATTTAAAATTATCTGACTTTAATACCAATTGATTTTTTTTAAAAAGAGAAGGGAAAATATTAAAATTTACCTTCAGGAACATTAAATTTACCATCTTCCAGTGTTGCACGGAGTACTGATATATCAGATATTGATCCCTCCCATCCAACAGCCACATAAAGAAAAGTATGATCAAAGGAGCACGCTGCCATTACATTTTGAGATATGAAATTCTTTCGATTACGATACCTGTTGTGTTTTTTTCTTCACAATTACAGGAATATGAGATCCATCAATTGCTCCTAATGCTTTCTGCAAATATAAAAATGTATAAGGTTCTAATGTATAGAAACATACACACAGACACATTAAAAAACCGTCTAGTTGGCCTTAAAGCATTCTTCTCAATTAGAACATTTTTAAGCAAAAGAATTGCCTCAGAACTCATTCGAAAACAAGAATATGAACGATCAGGATGTCCAGCCAACATATCTTCTACAAGCATATGACCAGAGAATGGTCTAGTTCGACATGGTCGAGGAACCTGCTTCATCACATTTGATTGATGAATGATGCTTGTAATCATCTCGTTCCACATGTACTCATCCTCATCTTCATCATTCAAAAGCAACGCCTCTATAAGATCATCTTCATCATCAAGTGCTTCAATATCATCAACACTAAGATTGCTTGCAAAATCTTCAAATGAATTCATCTTCAACCAAATTAAAAACGAAAAATTAGACAACTTGTTATAAAGAATGGTAGATATAGTTCAAAAATATTAACTTGATTCATAATCAACACCTAAGAAATTTACTTCAGTGTTAACCAGTTGAACTATATCAATTTTAATATTCAGCATTAACTCACGCCTGTACACACACATGTGAAAAGGTGTCTGCACCAGGAACTTAGTCATTAACTCATTTATTTCACTAATACTAACACCATAACCTGTTATTTCATTAGTAGTGTATGCAAATAACGGTAAATTTAGAGATGGAAAAAGCTCTTGCAGAAGAATAAAACTATCCTTAGTCTTTATGCTTTCAAATTCAGTACATGTACCTAGACTCATATTGCCAAGATTTGACATGCACCAATTCACTTCGGATAATATCAAATATTAAAAAAGGCACCAAATGTTAATCTTGGTGAAACTGTGAAAGCTAGGCTTCAGCAATTCTCTGTGATGAATAAACTCAAGAAGAGAGCTCTTAGGGTAAAGATTTAAATTGAGACTTGCATGTTATCTTAATAGGCCAATGCCATTGTTCTTGGGAACTACAATGCTTATCAACTTGTAGAGTTGTTGCAGGTGATTGCTGAACATTTGTCGGTGGAGGAAGTAGCTGACATAAAGGAGATGTTTTCAAAGATAGATGTAAACAATACCGGGAATATATCATTAGAAGAGCTGAAATTTGGTCTGCACAAGCTTGGCCACCAGATTCCAGATGCTGATGTTAAGATTTTAATGGATGCTGGTAGTACCCAACCTGAATGTACCTTTTCCGTTACAGCATTTATTTGATTTTGCTTCTTTGTAATTTGGCTTAGGAGCCTTAATTATCTTGTTAAGGAACATATTGAAACGTAACTCATTACTAACTTTAAATTCATGATCGTGCGCAAAGTTTTGACATTGACCTGTTAAGTTGCCATAATTCATGTACTTGACACATTGTTTTCCTAGTACAACTTGTTGCATTGATACAATGTTTAATGTGTACTCTTCCTTTTTGTTTGATATAAGAATATCATTACTGTTTTTGCAATCTGTTTGGTGCCTTTTTAATATTCTGCAGCCAAGGATGATCTGCATTTAAAATTATCAGGTCACGCTCAGTTATGTACAGCAGGGACCAAAATTACAGTATCAAGTGGGACACAACAAATGCACAATTATACAATATGTGAACAGTATCAAGCTGGAAAGGCATACATCATTTCATTCCTGCATCGTTGCTTTTGCTTTAATACATAGCTGGAAATGCACTATAATGCACTATAATATCCATACATAGCTGGAAATGCACTATAATGCAGATTTTGGCTAACATATTTTTGCTTTTGCAGAAGCCATTCCCAAGTTAAATAACTGAATTTGATTACGACTCTACTAACAAGATAGAATATCTTACTCAGTTGGTTGGGCAGAAGGAGCTGATGGTGGTGTTTTTTCAACAGGACCCTACATAGGAAAAATGAAATCAATGTTAAAGACAGATCATGACCACAACAATAAACAAATTTTGCTAGACTAATACAAGCATCAACACATTAGTGACAGTGTCAAGGAACTATAGAGTAATAAATATATAATTGCTAAGTAGTAGAGGGATAAACTATGGAATCACTTGACATGCCAGATAAATTCCTCCATGTCAAATAAATATGCTCCAAATCATTCCACAATGCTATATGACCATACAGAATCACGAAAAAAAAAGGGCTACAACTGCTACACAATCAATCTACCAATAGGTTATAATTTTTTTCCCTCCCTTTTATTGGGAGGAATATGGTCATTGATAGGTTCAAGACATAAAGGGGGTGATTAATACATCCAATTTAATGATCATGAAAGAAACTGCACTTAGTATGGAACATGAACCATCCAACACAAGGAAGTCATAAAAACTTCATTCAAATACACAACATCCTTGCAAAAAGATTATCTAACATAAAAACCATCCAACATATGACATAATCTAAACATTCAAAATCATAATTTGTTTGACAATAAGAAAATCACTCTTTGGAACATGAACTTCAACTAAAAGCAAGAAAACATACTACTAAACTAAATTTGATTAGTCTTGACTCTTGAGTCTTGAACATAAAGCATCAATTCGGATGAAAGTTTTGTTTCTCCTTAAGTAAGCTGACAAATGACCCCATTTCCTGCATGGTGCTCTCATGAGCTTGTGACATTCGTGATTGACCCTGAGAAGTTTGAGAAAACCCTTGCCAGCTCGGTTGATTAAAAGACTCATTTTGGAACTGGTGCATTTGAGATGGCTGATGTTGGAAATTGTAAATAGGCGATGGATAACCGGTCATTGCATTTTGTAAATCCATTTGTTTCCTGAGCCATGATAATAGCATTTGACCGTTAAGCATATTAACGACATGCCTATTCTCCTTCTTTTTAATAGCTTCTGCTCCTGCCACACATAGATCACTAGTTACACCTGGTAAATTCATTATCTTATCCATACACTCTTTCA